TAGCTTAATTGTAGTCTAATAAGTATTATGTAGTTACTATATAATAAAAAAACAAAGTTTCTATAAAGTTATTATGTTAAAGCTGATGACTTATTTATTTATCTAATAGTAATAAATAAGAATTTATATCAATATATCTTAATATTTTTATTATTATTTAAAATGTATTTTTATTTATTTTTGATTTTTGATTTATATATAAAATTAAATATTATTATTAATAACAATAGAAACAAGAGATATAGATGAAGTAATAAAAATAATTATAAATATATATAATATAAATTACAAATCAATTTCAGATTAATAAACTGAATTTAATAATAATAAGAAAAAATTTTTTGATATTTTTAAAGCAGGTAATAATCAAAATGAAGATGAATTAAAAGAATATCTTCAATAATTTGTAATAGTATTTAAAATAGATCTATTATAATGATAAATAAATATTTATTTAAAGCGAAGCATAAGATATTATACTTTTAAAAAATAGTGTGAAAATTTTATAATTATATAAGTATTTCTATTTATTACACTATGTATATGATAAGATCAATAAAAAAATAAAAACAAAAAAATAAATAAAATAAAAATAAAATAATAAAAATAAAAAATATTTTTATTATTAATGTTAATAATAATATTAATAAAATTAAAATAAAATAAAATTACAAATTTATTTATTATAAAAAATAATAATAATAATTATAAAATTTCTTTTTAAATATTTAATTAATTAATTTATTTATATTTATTGATTTTAAATAAAAAAATTTGCTTTGGACTTAAAATAATTTTCACTATATAATAATATTTTACTAATTAGTCTAGAGCAAAGTGAAAAACTATATAGGATTAGATAATATAACATAAAAGTATTCTGATATCTGCTCGCTCGCAACTTAAATTAATACTAATTAACATTTACAATATTTTTTAGTTAATATCATTTCAGACTTAATAACAGTTATTGTTTTCTAGTTTATGCAAAATGATATTTTATTTTTTATATAATTTATCAAAAACTATTTTATCTTCAGAATTATTTTAATAAATATTATATAAATTATAGGTATATAAAACTACTTATTCACATTTTTCAAAGATAATTAAAGATTTTTTAACAATTCTAAATATAAGAATTTTATTTATTTTGTTTTTATTTTTTATTTTAATTTTTAATTTTAATATAAATTTTAACTATAAATATACTTGTCAAAAGAATATTTTTTATTAGTATTAATCTAATAATAAAAAGATATTTTAATTTATGAAGAAAAATGAATTAAGTATATATATGCCTAAAGAATTAAATAAGATTTTTTAATAATCTAATAGCAATATATTAATTAATTGTAAATAAATAATTTATAATCTTATTATTATTTATTTTATTATAATTAAGATAATAATTGAATATTTTAAATTTATTGTTTTAATAAATAGTATATTAATCAGTTTTATTTTAAATTAAATATATAAGCTTAATTACAAGTTTCAAATTAGAATTTATAAAAAAAAATAATTAATAAATATACTCTTTTATATAAAAAAAGAAAATTTATTCAATATATTTATCTTATTTTTTATTTTAAAGTTTTATTAAAGTTTAAGATTATATTCTTTATATAAAAAAATCTATATAATAAAAAATTTAAATATTTATTTTAGGTAGAGTCAGATATCTGATCTAAAATATTATTAATCTTACTTAATCTGAAAAAATTTAATCAGATTAATTACTTAACTTAATTTAACTTGCTTGAAGTTTTAATCTTAAATTTTAATTATATAATTATTATATTTAATATACTTTTTATTAATTTTACTAATAAATATTTAAAATTTTAAAATAATCAAATTTTAAAAAATTGTTTTTAAAATTGTTTTTTAAAATTGAATAAATTTATTTATCACAAGAGATAATATTTCTTATATATTACTTTTATATATATTCCTTAAATAGGATTTTACATATGAAAAAATTTCTAAGTTCCTAGAATAATTAATAAAAATAAAGGGTAAAGGACATGAAACATTATAATAAATACCAGGTAATGATATCATATATTGTGATATATAAATTTTTTCCTTAAAATTTATGTATTTATATATTAATAAAATTTCTTATTATTATAAAATTTATAATAAATTATAGCAAGTATTAATAATAAAGTTTTTTTTTTTTTTTATAATATTAACATATTTATAGTAAATTTTAGCTTATAAATAGTCTTAATTTTTAAATAATAAAAATTATTATAATATTATATATGTTTAATTTTATAAAAGTAAATTCAAAAGAATTTATAGTAAATAAGTAGTCAAATTTGTTGCAATCCTTACAATTTAAGAGATAATATAAATAATTTATATTTAAAATTGGTTTTAAAAAAGGTCTAATAATTAATTAACTATAAATTGATTTTTAGTGTTAATTAATATATAAAAATAGTTTATTATAAATTTTTATTAATTTTATAATAAAATTACTGTATGATTCTTTAGTGCTTTATATAATTGATTAAACAATCTACCCTTTTAGAAAGATTTTTAAAATTTTTTCAATGAAACTACTTGGTAATTGATTATTATCAAATTAAACAAATCTACATAAAGTTATCAAAAACGTATTTTTAATTTATGAAAAAATGTGAACCAATCATATCTAAGGAATGTAATGTTCCAGGGGGATGGCAAAGAATTCTCACTTTAGGTCTAGGTACATCGAAAGTTTTTGAGTATAACAGTTGCCTTATATAAATTAGGTGAATTTGATGAAGCCAATAAACCTTGCTAATCAATCCACCGGAAAAATTTTATTTTTTTGTTATCTCGGATAATTTTAAAAAATACTTTTTTCAATTCCTTTTTACATTTCCTCCTAGCACCAATTACAATTCAAAAATTTACATTTTGATGAATATCAAAATGTTTACATAAACATCAAAAAGCCTGGATCACCTTTTTGTTCTTTTGGGAGAGATTAACATAAATCTTATTGGTAAAAACTTGTACAATTGAAAACATTCGAATTTCGAAAGAAGGGCGCAGTACCATTTGATATCTTTGTCACGGAGCACAAAATCTGTCGATTTTTTTTTTTTCCAAAAATCCAGACCTCCTTTTCATAAACGTGAAACAAAAATTTGTTTTTGATTCACAATTTACTACGAAATCAAGTTAAACCATCAAAATATTTGAATTGTTTACAAATAAAAACTATAATAAAGTTTGGTCTAAAATTAGCATACCAATAATATTTCAATTAAAGAAATTTAATTTAATTTACTTGTTTAAATTGTTTATATTCTTAAAACTTGTACATCATGAAACCTCCGAGCGACAAAAATTCCGGAGCAGAGTTTTTTTTTGAATTTACCCGATAATTTCTCTTAAAAGTAAATTTAAAGGTTTCTCGCAGTACGTTGCATAAGATTCATATGTGAAATTTTCATGTTAAAACCAAAATACGTAAGTAACTTTTTTATAACAATAAAAAAAAAATTAGTAATACATTATAAAAATGATGAGAAATCTTTCCTTGATGTAGTGCAAAAAAGATTTAATTAGACAAATTCATGATAAATGCGGTAACATGAGGAATAAATGATCTTTTCAGGTAGTGATAAGAAAAACTGGAATCGGATCCAGATTTCATTTTGGTAAAAACTGCGCAAGCTTGGATCGAGTTTTTTTTTAAAAAAAAAAAAAAAAATTTCAAACTCGGTTTTATTAAAATGTACAAGGTTTAAAACATAACTACAGGTATTGCCTTGTTAGAACTTATAGACAAAAAAAAAAAAAAAAAGTGTCATTTGCACATTATTATGACATTTATGGTAAAGATAGTGGGGTGACAAGATTTCATGATTCATCAAAGATGAAATCGATTATTACCATCTCATTGGTGCCAAAATCAAAGAACATGGTTAGTGTTTCATTTAATAATGTAAGAAAAAAAACAAAGGGAATCATTAATCTTAAGGGGAAAAATTATAGGTTTGTTCTATTTTATTTATGTATTCAAAAACTACATCAGGAAACATGTATCACAATCGTAAAAGCGGGTGGTTTTAGATTTTTCTTGACGATATCAAAGGTTGTAATAATTTCCTTCTTGAATATCTTTTAAATGTACCTTCGATAAAAGGACAAGTTTTTGGCTTCATTGTCTGTGAATATAATTTTATCAGGTTAGACGGGTTGATCTAAACTTTATTAAGCCATTGTTTGTCAAATTATCAAATAATTTCACAAGATAGGAAATTCCAAATTCGTTATATGTTTGTAACAAAACAATGTACCTACCTATTTCTTTCAATAACATTTGATACTGAACCATTTCTTGTATCTTCGGGAAAAACATTAATCAAAACATACCAATAGTTACCATGCACCTTAATGAATTTTAGGATGTCAGTGCAACAGTTGCAACACTATTTTTTGTATAAATCTCCTAGGAAAATTTTAAAAAAAACAAAAAAAAAAAAAAACAACCTTAAAACCATAAACAAAAAACTATAAACCTTTTTCCTTGCTTATTGAATATTTTCAAATAATTGGAACTAAAAAGGTAAGGAAAATTCGGGAAATAATGGTAATGGCGATGTTTTCCAAGTTTAGGCTTTCGATTTTGGGGGTGGGAAATTTATCTGAAACAAGAACTAAAAAAATCCTTGTTATTTGAATTTCAAAAAAAAAACTAAAAATAGCGAAAGCAAAACCCTTTGCAAGAAAAATCAACAAATATCATTATATTAACTTTAATTAATTATCAATTTAAAACGGTAATTATATAATTAATTGTAATTAATAAATATATATGTATGTATCATATATTTTTTCTATATATATGTAAAAATTGTTGTACCTTGCTCGAAAAAGTTTTGAATGTTATTTGGATCATGAATTTTAAAAAAATGGTTAATAACTGTAAATCATTTTTTCAATGCACAGCCAAAAAGCAGAATCCTTATATATCACGACATAAAAGTAACATGGTTTCGGAAGCGAATTGGTCCAAATTTTCCGCAGCACTATTCCGACCTTCTGCGCCAGATGATAGAACTTTTAAAGTAGTCTGTAAAGCTAATGATCATTATACTAAAAAAGAATTTAAGTTAGCCATATGTAAATAAATATTTTTTTTTTTTCATTTAGAAAATGTTGTTTATTATATATTTTTCTAATCAATTCTCCTTTTCCAACTAATGTCGATTTATCAGACGAATATACAAAAGCATTAGCATTGATACAACCAAGTTCAGATCCAAAAAACTCGTCGTCATTTTCAGCATTAATATTTTCAAACAGGAGTGCAAGTTATTATCAATGTAAGAAATGGGCTGAGGCCGTGAATGATGCTGATCAAGTAATCCGTATGAGACCCGAATGGCCAAAGGTAAACAGATAAATCCCTTTTAAAGATTATCATTCTCTTCGAATCATATGTTGACAAGCATCGAATTATGTAATTTTTTTTTTCTTTTTAGGGATATTTTCGTAAGGCCGAAGCAAATCTACAATTAGGAAAATATGATGATGCTTTAGAAGATTATCATATGGCACAAAGAAAAGATCCAAAAAACCCACAAATACCGTTACGAATCGCTAAAGCTTTAACCTTGAAGGAGAATCAAGAAATGAGTGAGCTATTTACATCTGTGCCATATCGCCACACCTTTTAAACTTTTAACTGAAATCCTCGTCTTGATTTAGATTTAGCGATATACGCATTAATGCCTGGACGTGAAATCTGTTTGCATACGATGACAAACCCCATACAGAATAAAATATTTGATTTTGCAATAGATATGAAAAATATAATTTATATTATAGCAGATCTAGCAACGCGTAAATGTGTGGTGGTTGATGCGGTAAGTAAGATTTTTTTTTAACGAATAATGTCGTTTATTGCACGTCCAAGACTTGATATTTTTTTTTTTTTTTTGACTTAGTGTTGGGATGTTGATGGAATATTAAAATTTGTTAAAAAGAAGGGGTTGGAACTTGTCGGAGGCATCGTAACCCATTATCATTTTGATCATGTCGGAGGTAAATTTTTTAATTTCTGATTGTAAATATTTATTCGAGTCGGAATTTTAAAATTTTGCGATTTTACCATCGACCTAGGCATACCGCCACCGCCATTTGATCAATTACGTGTCAAAGTATCAGGAATTTATAACTTGATGCGTCGGGTACCCAAATTATCCGTGTACATGCATCCAGCAGACATACCATACGTATTAAAATCCAACCCGGGAATGTCAGGATTGAGATCACGCTTCGTTTCAACACCGGATCAATTCGCGATGACGTTAGGTAATTTCACCCTGTTACGATTCATACATATGCCGGGACATACGGAAGGTAGTCAATCCATACTTGTTAATGAATCAAGATTATTTACCGGTGATACTTTAATGGTTGGATGTACCGGAAGGTTGGATTTACCTGGTGGGAATTTAAAAGAAATGAAAAAGACCCTAAAGGAGAGATTGGGTAATTTGGAGGATGGTACAGTGGTTTATCCCGGTCATAAGTATGGTAGAGAATGGACTACGATTGGGATGGAAAGGGAAAAGGGTGTTATCGGAAGATCAAGGAGATAAAATTTTGTAAAGTACAAGATTATCATCAGGTTTGACAGGATGGTTTGTTATTTATTTATTTATTTTGCTAAATAATCATTTATCTTAATCAAAAATTAAAATATTTTACATGATACAATCAATTAATTGCATTAATATTTAGAATATATCTCACATTAAATTTAATCTTCAATAAAATCTATCATCAATCATATAAACATTTATATTGAATGCGTGATATTTATATTAAATTCACGAGTCTCATTTTACCCCCTTAAAAAAAGGAGACCATGCATTTATTTACTTCAAAATATTTAATATTTATTTATTAGTGATTTATTTATATTATAAACCTGATAATTTTTTTTTTTTTGTTTACAAATAAATTCCATCACGTTCGTCCATATTTTCCATGATTTCAATCCAAACTCCAAAATCCTTGATCCTTTTCAACAAATCCTTATTCAAGCGATTTTTAAAATCAAAAAAAATGGAATAATTTTCTATGAATCGCATCCTTCTTACAAGTTTCATCCTTCCGACATACTTTAAAATAATTTCCAAGCATTTATCGGACATCACGAAATCAAAATTCATTTCTTGCAATAACGTGACGTAATTGAAATTGATAAAGAAATATTCCAAGTACACGGGGGTGGCCCCTCCATAAAATTTAAGCGTAAATGCCCTTAAATCATTAGGTAAATTGTTTGCCAGATAACTTAACACCACCTCAGAATCTACCAAATGAAGGAAAAGATGTTTACATTTAATTTCCTTCAAGTAATCAAAGATGATTAGATTACCGATCCATGCTTCAAATTTGTCCAAATTCTTGCAAGTAGTGATGATCGACTTGTAAACTTCTTCATTTACGTTCAAGGGAAAGGATACTTCTTGATGTACCAGACTTGTTAATGAACTCCCTATCGAACTTATAAATGTCGCGGTCATATTTGGTTCCCAATAATTGTTTCGTAATTTCAACTTTTTTAATTTAATCTTATCATTTGATATCCTCTTACAAATGTTTAAATCAATTCCATCACAACAGGTGAGGTTCAGAGATTCCAACCGTTCAAACCTTGTCAGTAGGTCGATCGATCTCTCATCAAAGTGACAACCGTCCAATTGCAACGTGGTCAAGGTATTTTTTTGTGATTGTAATAATTCAAATATATTATAGACCTCATTATTTTGATTATTTATCCTTAAATAGAAACTCACAAGATTTTTTTGTTGTTTAATGAGTCTGGAAAGTAGACATGGTAAAGTGGACTCGTGTTCAATGTTAATCGTTGTGGATACTTTGAAGTCAATAAGGTTAAAACAATTTTCCGAGAGGAGAATTAAAAAGTCGCTTACAAAGTCCTTCATCTGATCATCAATGTAAATGTGTAATGATGATAAATTTTTCAAGTTCGAGGTGATCTCTTTAAAGAATTGTGAATCATAAAGGTTGGTATCAAAAATATTATTTCTAACCTTTAAATATTTCGGGTTAATGAATTTAAATTGTCGAAAGAAGGAATGAAATAATGTATTCCTAATTAATTTATACCTCGTATCATCATGAATGTCACAATAAAATTTATTATAATCTTGATATTGAATGTATTTTTGATTCTTATTCATATCATAAAATTGATATAAAAACCAAAATTCAAGGTTAATATTTAAATTTGAATAAGGTAACCCTTCTAAATACATTCCATATTCAAATAATGTTGTTGTTGATTCCTCTTCAATCTTGATGTTATTTTGAATTAAGAAGGACCTTTCTCCTTCATTAAGGCATGTGAGGTATGTGTTGATAAGAAGGTAATAATGTAAATGATCTTTAACATTACGAAATGGTTTCTTATAAAGTATGGGAACGATATTTCTACAAAATAATCGATTAACGAATAAACTTTTATGTAAGGTTGACCGATCGTTACGTAAATGATCAAATATTTCAAATATGCAATCTTCTGTCAAAACTGGGGTAGACATTTTGGAAAAACGAAAATGATAAAGGGAAGGGGAGAGAAACTTTTTTTTTAAAAAATACTTTTTTGACGAGATTTATGGTGATCAATAATAAATTGGGCGTCCGTCGATCATCATTTAAGAACTCGTGGTTTTAATTAAATATAAATAATTACCGAAAAATTACGATTCTCAACGATTTCAAAGCCATAGTTTTGCTTCCAGCAATATCTTTTTCTTTTATTTTTTAATAAAAAGTTTTCATTTCTTTCCGCATTTACTTTAAATGAATTTTCTAGAAAACTCAAATTAAACATTATAAATAAATTAAATGTATATCTTTGGGTAAATGCTTACTAACAGTTGGAAAATGTTTGCATAATTAATTACCTTTCAGATAGTTAATGTTTTCATTTTTTGTTTGATGTATATTGTTAATGCGTTGAATGCGTTCAAGTTCATATTCAATAATCTGATACTTTTAAAACAATCTTTTTAAAAGAAATCTTTTACAAAATTCTTCGTTTCTTATCGATACAAATATGTAATCCCGCCAAATTTCGGTAAAGAATTGAAGAAAGGAATTTTGAATTTCTGTGAACATGCGTATTCCCAAAACACATGATTCCCATTATCTTTCATAATGCAGATTTATTGTAGTCAGCTAAGCCCGTGTAACGCTTAGATAACTAAATACAAATAGGGTAAGTTAGCATTAGCCGCAGTAAAAGAATTTTTTCGGTAGTTGCTCCAAGCGTTAATGGTTTCGACATTAGCTTTAGTTTTCTTGTTAAGAATTCATGATAATTTTCTGGTGGAATCTAGATAAAAGTGGTTCCTCGAATATTGTTATGGCAGAAATAATAACTCCATCATAAAAACTTAATTTGAGATCATGTTTTGATTAGGGATGTTAAGCGGTCCTAAACAGTCCTAAACTTCCCAATAAATTTGCTAATTCTAGAGAAGATTTTTACTTTCTAATGGAATAAACTTATTCGAGAATCTAGAAAAACTTACCGGTCCATGAAAATTATCGATCTCAAAGTTCATTTTTCTTTTATAAAAAATTTATCAAACAATTTTTTTAACGAGTTAGCGTTAGTGTTTTGGGCGAAACTAGTTTCACGTTTCGGATGTTGAAAAATAGTTTCGCCTGAAACACTATAACGAGTTATTTATTATAGATAAGCGATTAGGCTTTACTATAACTAGAAATTTCTAAATTTGTTCAAAATCATTTGGGACCTTAATATTTTCGTATTCAGTAGATATTGCAAAAGCAGAAGTTGTGTCATTCTGCAACTTCAGATAATTGTGTTGCTCTTCACGAATCTCGACTTTTTCTCTTGCTATGGGTTCATCTATGAATTATGGTTTTAAAAAAAAAAACGCGCTTGGGTCATAAAACACAGAACTTCCAAAAGTTTCATTTCATTATACAGTGTTTCAAAATGGAATGGATTAGTAGTAATATCTTACAACGTAGTATTTGAAGTGAATGAAACAACTTATAAAAAAAAGCGAGTTCGGACGTACTTACGATTCAGTGGATTTTATAATGTGAGAAAATGGCGTTTCAGTCACCATTCTTTCAAATCCATTTTTCAACTCTTGAATATTGCCAGCGCATCGTTATTTTCTGAGTAATAAAACTACCTGTAAGTAACATCTCCTCAAAGGAGAAGGTAAGTAAGTAGGTAACATCCTCGAAAGGAGATGGTAAGTAAGTAAATAACATCTCCTTGAAGAGGGACAGTATGAAATTTCTCTTTTATTATCATTCTCATGATTATTAATCAACAAATAGATTTAAAAAGTGAGAACTATCTTTTTCACATTGCGAATCCTGTCTTTTTGTCTGAACATTCAATATTTTCATTATATTCGACTGATGTACCGTTAGAGCGCGCTCTTTAGTACATCACATTCTAAGGAGGGTCTTTATACACGGGGGACATACTATAGAACATTTTCTGAGGATGAGGAAAAAGCAAAGCAGCAAAAGTAATGTTTGAGTCAATTCACATAGGCACTACCCCAGCGTACCTTTTACGAAATGTCAAAATTAAACTTCCATTGACAAATTATAATAAAAAAGAAAAAGTGGTGGCATGACACGGGTGATAAATTATCTGTCACGTGATTATCGTGACATTTCGTGAAATTTTGATAACCACCATAGCATCACCCAGAAAGCCGGTGTTAGACCTGGAATCGTCTCAAACCAAGCTAACAAAATGAATAAACTTAATACAACAATTATCTCAAAGGCCTTTCCTAAGAGAAATTAACGATTAACAAACAAAACAATTTATTATCACGATTCACTTGTGTAGTAGGTTATCACGATCAATCCTATGATGAAGACAAGAAGAAGGTTGAAAGTGTAAAATAGTAACTTTATTAAACTGTAGAGTTATAAGTCTAGTCCCAAGACTTATTCAGAAAACTATCTGATCGAACTCTGTTGACTCAAGGTCAACTTACAGGTCTATTTATATAAAATTGTAATATACCTATATAATATTTATATTAAAAGGTAAACTATTCGATACATGTATTATAAAGTTGACTAAACGATACATGTATTACATGTTTAACATGTATGATATTTAGCGCAGTTGACGATCATCTAAGGTACAGCATAAACTGTGGCTAACACCGGTCAACTTAGGCTAGAACTATAAATTAAGCTATATAATTTGTTAGCGTATGCTGGGTTTTTTTCTATCCTCTTTCCGAAAATTTTATTTTTTGATGTTTAATTTACATTAATACCAATGAATCATTTAGAAATGAATTTTATTTATATAGGGTTAAACATAAGAGACTTTCGAATTTTAGTCAAATATTGGAGAGACAATGCAAAATTAATATGTCAAAATGAAGTGATCGTTGGGAATTGATATTTATAAAGTTTTTGAATTTTAATAATGGTCGGATCTTAATTTATTCTCATTGTAAAAGATAATTATTTAATAAAGTGTTCGACCTTAAATAATTTAATGAATAAATGCTCAAATTAGCTTATAAAAACAATTACCCTT